ACCGGAAGGGTGTGGCAGCGGAGCATCAAATTTCAGTGGAATGTTGGGATTAGCAACCAAACCGCGCATGCGCCAGGCAGGAACGTCAGCGTGACTGAAGCACCACTTCCGGTGTTCTGGTATGAGCGGTTTGCTGTGATCGACGATGGTGAAATCGAAGGCTACAAACACCTGGTAAGTGATGTGTGTTCGGCATTTTAGGAGCAGATAGTCAGTTCTACATATGTGGCTTTAAAGCAGGGATTTGGAGCTGACATTTTTGGCCTATAGGGGTTTAAGTGGGGTGCTAAGTGTTCGATCTTTTAGACTCGCGTCAATTAACCAACTGAATCAGTAGTCGAGCGAACGATCTTTTAGACTCGCGTCAATTAACCAACTGAATCAGTAGTCGAGCGAACGATCTTTTAGACTCGCGTCAATTAACCAACTGAATCAGTAGTCGATCGCACGATCTTTTAGACTCGCGTCAATTAACCAACTGAATCAGTAGTCGATCGCACGATCTTTTAGACTCGCGTCAATTAACCAACTGAATCAGTAGTCGAGTGAACGATCTTTTAGACTCGCGTCAATTAACCAACTGAATCAGTAGTCAGGCGAACGATCTTTTAGACACACACATCAACCAACTGAATCAGTAGTCAGGCGAACGATCTTTTAGACACACACATCAACCAACTGAATCAGTAGTCAAGCGAACGATCTTTTAGACATACAAATCCACCAACTGAATCAGTAGTCAAGCGAACGATCTTTTAGACATACAAATCCACCAACTGAATCAGTAGTCAGGCGAACGATCTTTTAGACATACAAATCCACCAACTGAATCAGTAGTCAAGCGAACGATCTTTTAGACATACAAATCCACCAACTGTATCAGTAGTCAAGCGAACGATATTTTAGACATACAAATCCACCAACTGAATCAGTAGTCAAGCGAACGATCTTTTAGACATACAAATCCACCAACTGAATCAGTAGTCAAGTGAACGATCTTTTAGACATACAAATCCACCAACTGAATCAGTAGTCAAGCGAACGATCTTTTAGACATACAAATCCACCAACTGAATCAGTAGTCAAGTGAACGATCTTTTAGACATACAAATCCACCAACTGAATCAGTAGTCAAGCGAACGATCTTTTAGACATACAAATCCACCAACTGAATCAGTAGTCAAGTGAACGATCTTTTAGACATACAAATCCACCAACTGAATCAGTAGTCAAGCGAACGATCTTTTAGACATACAAATCCACCAACTGAATCAGTAGTCAAGCGAACGATCTTTTAGACATACAAATCCACCAACTGAATCAGTAGTCAAGCGAACGATCTTTTAGACATACAAATCCACCAACTGAATCAGTAGTCAAGTGAACGATCTTTAAAACGTATCAACAAAGAAACTTTATAATTTTTTAGAACGGAAGAACACAAAAAAAAGTGAAATTGTTTTTTAAGAGTTGAGTGATGGTATCTTAGAGTTGACTGAGGCTGTCCTATAGTTGAGTGATGGTGTCTTAGAGTTGACTGAGGCTGTCCTATAGTTGAGTGATGGTATCTTAGAGTTGACTGAGGCTGTCCTATAGTTGAGTGATGGTATCTTAGAGTTGACTGAGGCTGTCCTATAGTTGAGTGATGGTATCTTAGAGTTGACTGAGGCTGTCCTATAGTTGAGTGATGGTGTCTTAGAGTTGACTGAGGCTGTCCTATAGTTGAGTGATGGTATCTTAGAGTTGACTGAGGCTGTCCTATAGTTGAGTGATGGTGTCTTAGAGTTGACTGAGGCTGTCCTATAGTTGAGTGATGGTGTCTTAGAGTTGACTGAGGCTGTCCTATAGTTGAGTGATGGTGTCTTAGAGTTGACTGAGTCTGTCCTATAGTTGAGTGATGGTGTCTTAGAGTTGACTGAGGCTGTCCTATAGTTGAGTGATGGTGTCTTAGAGTTGACTGACGCTGTCCTATAGTTGAGTTATGGTGTCTTAGAGTTGACTGACGCTGTCCTATAGTTGAGAGATGTTTTCTTATATTTGAGTGATGGTGTCTTAGAGTTGACTGAGGCTGTCCTATAGTTGAGAGATGTTTTCTTATATTTGAGTGATGGTGTCTTAGAGTTGACTGAGGCTGTCCTATATTTGAGTGATGTTTTCTTATAGTTGAGTGATGGTGCCTTATAGTTGAGTTATGGTGCCTTATAGTTTAGCGATTATGCATTATAGTTGAGTGATGGTGTACTATAGTTTAGTAGTGATAATGTCTTATAGTTGAGTGACGGTGCCTTATAGTTAAGCGATTATGCATTATAGTCGAGTGATGGTGTACTATAGTTTAGTGATTATGTCTGATAGTTGAGTTATGGTGTCTTATAGTTGAGAGATGGTGTCTTATAGTTGAGCGATAGTGTATTTTGTCGAGTGATAGCTTCTCAAAAGGGAGGTAAGATGTCTAATTAGATTTAGATAATATGTTGCCCGTATAATTGATGGAACCAATGGATTAGAGTGGGCCCCTGGATTAGATGTTACCCCTAGATTAGATGTGGCAAATATAATAAATTGAGACCTTTATTACATGCGGCCCATAGATTTTATCAGGACCATAGATAAGATGGGACCATAAATTAGATGGGGTCCGTAGATTAAATGGGGCCCATAGATAAGTTTAGACCATAGATTAGGTCGGGCCCATAGATAAAATGGGGTCCACATATATTGAGTTAGGATTATGTCACACTCAATATGTTACAAGTGAATTAGGATTGTGTCACACTCAATATGTTACAAGTGAGTTAGGATTGTGTCACACTTAATATGTTACAAATGAGTTATGATTATGTCACACTTAATATGTTACAAGTGAGTTAGGATTATGTCACACTCAATATGTTACAAGTGAATTAGGATTGTGTCACACTCAATATGATACAAGTGAGTTAGGATTATGTCACACTCAATATGGTACAATTGAGTTAGGATTATGTCACACTAAATATGTTACAAGTGAGTTAGGATTATGTCACACTAAATATGTTACAAGTGAGTTAGGATTGTGTCACACTCAATATGTTACAATTGAGTTAGGATTATGTCACAATGAATATGTTACAAGTGAGTTAGGATTGTGTCACACTCAATATGTTACAAATGAGTTAGGATTATGTCAAACTCAATATGTTACAAGTGAGTTAGGATTATGTCACACTCAATATGTTACAATTGAGTTAGGATTATGTCACACTAAATATGTTACAAGTGAGTTAGGATTGTGTCACACTCAATATGTTACAAATGAGTTAGGATTATGTCACACTCAATATGTTACAAGTGAGTTAGGATTGTGTCACAATGAATATGTTACAAGTGAGTTAGGATTGTGTTACACTCAATATGTTACAAATGAGTTAGGATTATGTCACACTCAATATGTTACAAGTGAGTTAGGATTATGTCACACTCAATATGTTACAATTGAGTTAGGATTATGTCACACTAAATATGTTACAAGTGAGTTAGGATTGTGTCACACTCAATATGTTACAATTGAGTTAGGATTATGTCACAATGAATATGTTACAGTGAGTTAGGATTGTGTCACACTCAATATGTTACAAATGAGTAAGGATTATGTCACACTCAATATGTTACAAGTGAGTTAGGATTGTGTCACACTCAATATGTTACAAGTGTGTTAGGATTATGTCACACTCAATATGCAACAAGGGAGTTAGGATTGTGTCTCACTCAATATGTTACAAGTGAGTTAGGATTGTGTCACACTCAATATGTTACAAGTGAGTTAGGATTATGTCACACTCAATATGTTACAAGTGAGTTAGGATTGTGTCACACTCAATATGTTACAAGTGTGTTAGGATTATGTCACACTCAATATGCAACAAGGGAGTTAGGATTGTGTCTCACTGAATATGTTACAATTGAGTTAGGATTATGTCACAATGAATATGTTACAAGTGAGTTAGGATTGTGTCACACTCAATATGTTACAAGTGAGTTAGGATTATGTCACACTCAATATGTTACAAGTGAGTTAGGATTATGTCACACTCAATATGTTACAATTGAGTTAGGATTATGTCACAATGATTATGTTACAAGTGAGTTAGGATTGTGTCACACTCAATATGTTACAAATGAGTTAGGATTATGTCACACTCAATATGTTACAAGTGAGTTAGGATTGTGTCACACTCAATATGTTACAAGTGTGTTAGGATTATGTCACACTCAATATGCAACAAGGGAGTTAGGATTGTGTCTCACTGAATATGTTACAATTGAGTTAGGATTATGTCACAATGAATATGTTACAAGTGAGTTAGGATTGTGTCACACTCAATATGTTACAAGTGAGTTAGGATTATGTCACACTCAATATGTTACAAGTGTGTTAGGATTATGTCACACTCAATATGTAACAAGGGAGTTAGGATTATGTCACAATGAATATGTTACAAGTGAGTTAGGATTGTGTCACACTCAATATGTTACAAGTGAGTTAGGATTATGTCACACTCAATATGTTACAATTGAGTTAGGATTATGTCACAATGAATATGTTACAAGTGAGTTAGGATTGTGTCACACTCAATATGTTACAAGTGTGTTAGGATTATGTCACACTTAATATGTTACAAGTGAATTAGGATTATGTCACAATTAATATGTTACAAGTGATTTAGGATTGTCTCACACTCAATATGTTACAAGTGAGTTAGGATTATGTCACACTCAATATGTTACAAGTGAGTTAGGATTATGTCACACTCAATATGTTACAATTGAGTTAGGATTATGTCACACTCAATATGTTACAAGTATGTCATCAGCTTGTTCACGCGTTTATTAAAAGTAAATCTTCAAAAAAGAACACAATGAAACACTTCAAATAAGAACACAAAGAAACACTTCAAACAAGAACACAATGAAACACTTCAAACAAGAACCCAATGAAACACGTTGACAAATAATTCCTAGCCAGCTCAAGTGCTTTTATTTGGTCATGAAACAGTCAGTGTCTAACATCTTGTGTCTAGCATATAGTGTCTAGAATCTTGTGTCTAACATCTGTAGTCCAACATCTAGTGTCTTTACACGTTTATAACATCCAGCGTATACCATCTAGTGTCCAACAGTGTAATATCTAGTGTATAACAGTGTAATATCTAGTGTCTAATAGTGTAACATCTAGTTTTTATGGGTAGCAATATAGATTTATGAAACAGTCTCTGAATTCAGCTGCAGAGTTCGACTATGTGTTACCTGTAGCTCCACTCTGCGTACACCTGTAGCTCCACTCTGCGTACACCTGTAGCTCCACTCTGCGTAATCCGGTAGTTTCACTCTGTTTACGCCTGGTTTGTGGTTTTAAATGAAAGGCGGCCCGGCATTTTATGAAGAAGAGTTGACTGTGGCAAACAATTGATTAAAACCTAGTCAACCCGGAGGGGGGGCGCTCACAATGAATGAAACGATGTTCACTGCTACATCAACTATCCCTCCAACTGGGACATCAACTGTCTTTCCGACTTGGACATCAACCATCCCTCCAACTGGGACATCAACTATCCCCCCGGCTGAGATATCAATCCTTCTGACTGGAACATCAATTGTCCGACATGGACATCAACTATCTGTCCGACATGGACATCAACTATCAACCCGAACTGGGACATCAACTAACGCTCTTGCTGGGACACCAACTATCCCTCCGACTGGGACATCCACTGTCCCTCCGAACGGGACATCAACTGTCCCTCCGACTGGGACGTCAACTGTCCCTCCGACTGTCCCTGCAGCCCCTGTTCTCACTCTTTCTCTTTTACCAACGGACCCTGTCATCCTTATCGGTCGGAAGTATGAAAAAAACTTTCTTTAACTTTTCATCGTAGATGCACACCTTGTTGTTATACCTGTACTGGACGGTACTATTTGCTCCAACATCCACGTGGACCTCTATCACCGTACCGTATGTCTTGTCGCGGTCCGCGTTCCCGATGACCTTGACGTAGTTGATCTTGTAGCTGTACGGCAGAAGCATCGGTCTGATGGTGTTCGACATTTGGTTATCAATTTCGAGTTTTAGCTTGTCCACGACATTGGACGGGATAATAAACCCCTCGGCCAGCCCACCTGCAGTCACGCCTAGGAAGATTGATCCACCGTCACGCCTGTTAGCCATACAAGTCACGTGGACGGCCAGCATGTAAGCGATGTCGCTGAAAGGTGACACACACAAATTCTTTCGAAAACATCATGGTTATTCTATTTCTGAACTGTTTAGTTAGTGGATAAAGAGAGTGGATCAAGTCAAGCAGGTGAAAGCATGAAGAAATCAAGTTAGTGGATAAAGAGAGTGGATCAAGTCAAGCAGGTGAACGCATGAAGAAATCAAGTTAGTGGATAAAGAGAGTGGATCAATCAAGGAGGTGAAAGCATGAAGAAATCAAGTTAGTGAATGGAGAGAGTTGATCAAGTCAAATATTCATGTTGTGAAAACGAAATGATGAAATACAATAATGGAGTGAAAAGTCGTCAGGAGAGAATGTATTTGTTGTTGTTTTTTTGTTGTTGCAAACTCTCAGATAATTGACTTTAGAAAGCGGAAATAATGGGGGTATGTAGATTTTAAAAATTCGATTATAGGAAGGTGTTAGAGCCTGAGCTAGAGCAATCGAAAATTAAAAAAAAAATGAAATGTTCGACTTTGAAAACAGAGATTTTTTTACTAAAAGAAAGACCCTAACGGCCTCCAAGTAGTGTAATACTTTCCTACTGCAAGCATGATGAAACATTTGTCTACTGCAAGCAGTGACGTAATATTTTCCTTGTGCTGCCCATGACTTCACAATGTATTGATAAACATATCCATCCTACCTATGCAATAGTCATCTTTGTTCATTTGACATGATGTCCTCAATCTAAGTTCATTTGACAAGATATTATGTTCCCATTTTTAGTTCATTTGACAGGATATGTCCCCAAAAGTTATCATGAAACAATGTTACTGCTTTAATTCAGGTGATGCATATGTGCGACCTTCCATATAGTTTTGCCCCTCCCACCACACCCCACCCTGAAAACAGCATGACAAGACAAGACCTTCTTGATTGACCTCTTCCAAACAGTACGACAGGACAAGAACTGCTTGTTGGATCTCTTCCAGACAGCACGACAAGACAAGACCTACTTGATGGACCTCTCCCAGATCGCAGGACAAGACCTTCTTGATGGATCACTCCCAGACAGAACGACAAGACAAGACCTACTTCATGGATCTCTCCCAGAAGCACGACAAGACAAGACCTACTTGATGGACCTCTCCCAGACAGAACGACAAGACAAGACCTACTTGTTGGACCTCTCCCAGACAGAACGTCAAGTCAAGACCTACCTGTTGGACCTCTCCCAAACAGCACAAGACAAGACCCACTTTATGGACCTCTCCCAAACAGCAGGACAAGACAAGACCTACTTGATGGATCTCTCCCAGACAGAACGACAAGACAAGACCTACTTGATGGACCTCTCCCAACTGGTCGCGTTAATTCTCACTTTGTTGTCGTAAACGTTGCATGCGTGCTGGAGATGCACCCGACCGTGAAACAGGTAGAACGGGGGTCCCTGCCAGAAAGGATGGGGCAGCTTGACGGTGCTCATCGATTCGTCTTTCTTGGATGGGTTGTTGCACACCGAGGGCTGCGCGATGTCCATGATGATCTCGGGCATGTCCAGCGGCATGGTGACGTCTAAGGTGTCCACACCCAGGGACAGCGGCATCAGCTCGAAGACTCTTTCGGTCGCCGCCGCCGTCGTCCCCGCGGGGACCGCTTCTTGGCTCCGCCTCCTCCAGCTTTTCACGACACACAAGACGTCCTCGTCCACTGGGGAGTAGGTCACCAGGTTCACAGACGGTGAGGGGGCACCTGCGGGCGCGGTGTCGGCAAACAGCTTAGCGATGTCCCTCAGCTCCTGAAACTGAAGTGTGTCATCAGTAGGAAAGTTTAGCGCATGGCGCCGGTGTGCGCTTTTAAACTCTGCACTAAAAAGAGGGGTGGGGGTGCTTTCAAACACTCCAGTAGGCGGCGTTTTTAAACACTACACTGGGAGGGGGGCGCGTTTAAATACTGCACTAGGGGGTGCTTTTAAACACTGCACTTGGGGGGGGGGTGGTGCTTTTAAAACAATGCACTGGGGTGCGCTAATATTTTCACTAAAATAATTTCGTAGTAAAAAAAAGTTATTGCCATGCCTTAAGTGATTATTTTAAATAAAATCATTTGAAGATTTTACTGTAACAGCCCCCCCCCCCCAACCCCCGAAAACGGACTACAATTTTACCTTTGTGGCGTCTAACAGCTGGACTGCTTGCAGTTTGTCAGGTGAGTCCGAGAGCCGCGTAAAATTGTAGACTCTCTTAACTGCACTCTTCTCCTTGACTGCCTGGTAGGAAGTTAAGAAAGTGAAATTAACTGGGCCACGACCTCAACCTTTATGACTTTCCAATTATGGCTTCTTTGCAAATGTTTCAGGGGGCCAGGAGCCGCAGTAATATTTTTTTTTTAAATTGAAAAAAACCTATTGTCAACAAAGTCTGTGGCAGGATGGTTGCTTACTAATGTAATCACCGCACAGGATGGTTGCTTACCAATGTAATCAGCACACAGGATGGTTGCTTACTAATGTAATCACCACACAGGATGGTTGCTCACTAATGTAATCACCGCACAGGAGGGTTGCTTACCAAATGTAATTAACACACAGGATAGTTGTTTACTAATGTAATCACCTCACAGGAAGGTTGCTAACCAATGTAATCACCACACAGGATGGTTGCTTACTAATGTAATTACCCCAAAAAGAAGGTTGCTTACCAAATGTAATCAACACGCAGGAAGGTTGCTTACCAATGTAATCACCACAGGATGGTTGCTTATTAATGCAATCCCCCCCCCACACAGCGTGGTTGCTTACTAATGTAATCTCCCCACGGCGTCCTTTAGACATTTTGACAATTTTTATTACATGTGGTTGGAGGAAAAGCTATATTTCAAAATGCAAATGTATAAAAAGGTAATTTTACAACCTGCCCCCCTCCCCCGAAAAGAAAGCAACAGAATTTTTGTTGATGTTTCTTACCATGACAACGAAGTCCGCCATCTCTGCCGACTTGAAGTCGATTCTTACATAATCAGATTTTGGGTGAACTGAGATTTTCGCGATGTCGGTATCGAGTATTCCAAAAATGTTAAGCAGGCGGAAAATATTTTTGGCCGTTTCATCAGTTTCTGGTCGCAGACGCAGTGGGCCGAATAGGACCCCGACTATGGTATCGGAAAAACCTCTGAGACATTTTAAGGCATCTACTAAAGAAGGACTGGAGGCCGCCCCTGGCTGTGTTGTGGGGTCCATGTCTGAGAACCTGCAGAGGAGAAATTAATCAACGTCCCATGTTAGAGCTGCCCTTTAAACAAGCGACCCCACCTATGGGTGGGCTAACATCATAGTTAGTGGCCCCCACCTATGGGTGGGCTAACATCATATTGAGTGGCTCCCACCTATGGGTGAGCCAACATCATAGTGAGTGGCCCCCACCTATGGGTGGGCTAACATCATAGTGAGTGGTCCCCACCTATGGGTGGGCGAACATGATAGTGAGTGGCCCCCACCTATGGGTGGGCTACCATTATAGTGAGTGGCCCCCACCTATGGGTGGGCTAACATCATAGTGAGTGGCCCCCACCTATGGGTGGGCTAACATCATAGTGAGTGGCCCCAACCTATGGGTGGACTAACATCATAGTGAGTGGCCCCCACCTATGGGTGGGCTAACATCATAGTGAGTTGCCCCCACCTATGGGTGGGCTAACATCATAGTGAGTGGCCCCCACCTAAGGGTGGGCTAACATGATAGTGAGTGGCCCCCACCTATGGGTAGACTAACATCATAGTGAGTGGCCCCTACCTATGGGTGGACTAACATCATAGTGAGTGGGACCCACCTATGGGTGGACTAACATGATAGTGAGTGGCCCCCACCTATGGGTGGACGAACATCATAGTGAGTGGCCCGCACCTATGGGTGGACTAACATCATAGTGAGTGGCCCCCACCTATGGGGGGGCTAACATCATAGTGAGTGGCCCCCACCTATGGGTGGGCTAACATCACAGTCAGTGGCCCCCACCTATGGGTGGGCTAACATGATAGTGAGTGGCCCCCACCTATGGGTGGACTAACATCATAGTGAGTGGCCCCCACCTATGGGTGGGCTAACATGATAGTGAGTGGCCCCCACCTATGGGTGGGCTAACATCATAGTGAGTGGCCCACAAAATCGTCCCAATTTTAGTATGGTGTAAAAAAATAGTTGTTGGGACATCAGAATATTTAATACTAGCAAGAACCCGGCACGCGTTGCAATGCCACTCAAAGACAAAAGTGGTTTTGTTTTAATTACGTTTTGGAGGTAGTTTTTAAATAGAAAATATTTTTTGTGTGTGTTTTTGTTTCGTTTCATGCGTACACAAATAAATTAAAGGATTTTTCGACTCGTAAGCGGCCTGCTCTCCACGTGAGAAGCACGGATGTTCAAAATTAATTTCACCGATTGATCCACCCATGCAGTAGCCTCTGTTAAAATTTTTATTTATATAGCTCACATAAAAAAAAAGAAAAGGCACCAGGCCTCATACGCAAAATTGTAAAATGGTTTTGCCAATTCAGAAACCTACTTATTATGTCACACACAAACTGAAATGTCGCTTGTATTTGATTCAGTTCCACCCACCCATGCAATAGCTCTGTTTGAAATTGTATTTGCATAGCTCATATAAGAAAACAATAATGTAGGGCCAAAGCCATCTTAACAACATAGTAGGCACTGGGCACAGCAATGCTCTGGGGCCCCCTAGAAACACAACACCCCTGGGCCGTGAGAAGGGGGGGGGGGTCACTCGCCCCATGCTTAAAAAATTGGGGATGGGGCAAACAGTTCCTGCTACCCATCAAATCACCAAGAGGAATAAAATTGTAAAATTCAAAATAAACATTCAACAAAGTTAAATTTCGATGAATTCAATTGATTGATTATAAAAAAAAGTATTCAAAATCGATAATAGTTAAAAAACATTATCAGTAATAAACTTTAAATAATCACAGAGGATGATAAATTATCAGTAATGACAAATAGATAAAATAAATTATTGAACATAAATCAACATAATCATTTGCGTATTTTTTTTTGCAGATAATCGTTTTAATATTGGTTTAAAGTCAATGGTCTTAAGGATGTCATTTTCCATGCACATAAGTGAAAGCCAGTTCGAGAATTTGTGACAATTTGTTACAGGGGAGGGGGTGGGGGTAAAAAATTTGTGACGTCACGATTTAAAAAAAAATCTCTTTTTTTTAATATCTAAAATGTTCTAATTTTAAAAAATCTTTCTTCAATTCATTATAAAACATTAATTTGAGGTCGAAATAACCTCTGTTATTTTAGGTACCGTGAACATCCGTCGTGCACGCCTTCTGCGCATATCGAAAAAATGACTCAAAAACTTTTGTGGCCATTTTACATTCGTCTTGTGGATGTCTTCGTTGTTTTGCGTCACAGTTTAAAAATAATATCCCATGTTAAGCCATTATGGGCAAATGTTTAAGAATAAAACAAAAATCTTAGTTTAGTAATGTACATTTTATGCATGTTTTCATTTTTTTTTTTGGTATGATGCGACACTGGGGAGATATAAATAATTTGTGACACTTTGTGACAGGGGGAGGGGGGTCTAAAAAGGTCATTTTTAGCGTGACGTAATTTGCGAACGACCCCTTAATTTTTTCGATTCGTATCTGGGAAAAGTAAAACTTGTCGACGAGAGTTATTTGCCTTTAAAAGTTTTAAAATTGTCCAACTTCGATTCGAATTTATAATATTAATTTTGGAATGTGCTGCTATATATATCGTGGGTTAAAATTGGTAAATTGGGAATTTTAAATCCAATTAAATTATCAAAATCTTTCTATATTCATTAAAAAATATGTAAAGCATGATGACTCTATAAGAGGGAGTCTCCTAGAAACGTGGTGCCCCCTCAAAGTTATGCCTTGAGACGGCACTGTTTAGGGCCCCTGGCTCCAAAAGGAATGTTTCAAAACTGATAACCTGATTCAGAAACCGTTTGCAGGCGTGCGCCACAACAACTCACCAAAGTTTTATCGAATTGGATAAATGGTATAGGAACGCATACAGAAATTATATTTAGCTCATAAAATTTAAAAAAGGCTCAGGCAAAGTGGGATATCCTCCCATGAACGAGGTACCAGGTAAAGTGGGATATCTTCACATGGACCACGTACCAGGCAAAGTGGGATATCTTCCCATGGACCAGGTAAAAGGCAAAGTGGGATATCTTCCCATGGACCAGGGCCCAGGCAAAGTGGAATATCTTCCCATGGACCAGGTACCAGGCAAAGTGGAATATCTTCCCATGGACCACGTACCAGGGAAAGTAGGATATCTTCCCATGGACCACTAACTGTAAATCTTGCACGAGCGTAAATCTTGCACGAGCGAAGAAAGTTTGCGATTGTTTAAATTAAATTCATTTAAAATCGATCATTACGCTGATGACTCAAAAATAGATCATTACCACTAGACACATTCTCCAAAAGATCATTACCACTAGACACAATCTACAATAGATCATTACCACTAGACACAATCTCCAATAGATCATTACCACGAGACACATTCTCCAATAGATCATTACCACTAGACACAATCTCCAAAATATCATTTCCACTAGACACAATCTCCAATAGATCATTACCACTAGACACAATCTCCAAGAGATCATTACCACTAGACACAATCTGCAATAGATCATTACCACTAGACACAATCTCCAAGAGATCATTACCACTAGACGCATTCTCCAATAGATCATTACCACTAGACACAATCTCCAATAGATCATTACCACTAGACAATTCTCCAAAAGATCATTATCACTAGACACATTCTCCAATAGATCATTACCACTAGACACAATCTCCAAAAGATCATTACCACTAGACACATTCTCCAATAGATCATTACCACCAGACAAAATCTCCAAAACATCATTACCACTAGACACAATCTCCAATAGATCATTACCACTAGACACATTCTCCAATAGATCATTACCACTAGACACAATCTCCAAAACATCATTACCACTAGACACAATCTGCAATAGATCATTACCACTAGACACAATCTCCAAGAGATCATTACCACTAGACACAATCTCCAATAGATTATTACCACTAGACACATTCTCCAATAGGTCATTACCACTAGAAAAAATCTCCAAAAGATCATTACCACTAGACACATTCTCCAATAGATCATTACCACTAGAAACAATCTCCAATAGATCATTACCACTAGACACATTCTCCAAAAGATCATTATCACTAGACACAATCTCCAATAGATCATTACCACTAGACACAATCTCCAATAGATCATTACCAATAGACACAATCTCCAATAGATCATTACCACTAGACAATTCTCCAAAAGATCATTATCACTAGACACATTCTCCAATAGATCATTACCAATAGACACAATCTCCAATAGATCATTACCACTAGACACATTCTCCAATAGATCATTACCACTAGACAAAATCTCCAAAACATCATTACCACTAGACACAATCTCCAATAGATCATTAGCACTAAACACATCCTCCAATAGATCATTACCACTAGACACAATCTCCAATAGATCATTACCACTAGACAATTCTCCAAAAGATCATTATCACTAGACACATTCTCCAATAGATCATTACCACTAGACACAATCTCCAAAAGATCATTACCACTAGACACATTCTCCAATAGATCATTACCACCAGACAAAATCTCCAAAACATCATTACCACTAGACACAATCTCCAATAGATCATTACCACTAGACACATTCTCCAATAGATCATTACCACTAGACACAATCTCCAAAACATCATTACCACTAGACACAATCTGCAATAGATCATTACCACTAGACACAATCTCCAAGAGATCATTACCACTAGACACAATCTGCAATAGATCATTACCACTAGACACATTCTCCAATAGATCATTACCACTAGACACAATCTCCAAAAGGTCAAATCACTAGAAACAATCTCCAAAAGATCATTACCACTAGACACATTCTCCAATAGATCATTACCACTAGACACAATCTCCAAAAGATCAAATCACTAGACACAATCTCCAAAAGATCATTACCACTAGACACATTCTCCAATAGATCATTACCACTAGACAATTCTCCAAAAGATCATTATCACTAGACACATTCTCCAAAAGATATTTACTGCTATCCCAAATTATGATGACCAGACACGTCGTAAGGAAGCAGAGTTAGATGAATGTGATGACACTCTTCGCTTGAAGTCTGTCTCTTTTTCTTTAGCTGCAGCTTGAGAGGGCGTTAGCTCCGAAAGTGCGGGTAGCACATCTGAAGGGTTGGTTTCCGAATCTGGACATTAAAAAATAGGAATGAAAGTGATTTTTAAACAAAACTACCAATTTACCTGTAGAGTTTGCAGGTGTAAGTGGCAGGTGTAAGTGGCAGGTGTATGTGGCAGGTGTGTGTGGCAGGTATACGAAGCGGTTATTGTTCACACTGAGCGGCTAGGTTTTCTGATTTTATAAATAAATGTTTAGCACTAGCGTGCTACGTCATACACTCAAGTCAACAGTGTGCGTTCGTAGACGGGAGCCTTTTCGGGATTTTCCTTTAACCAACTTCTTGCGTGAACTATTCCCCATCCTTGTTATGCCCAGCTCACACGATCAAAGTTTTGGTCAAATTTCTTTATGCACGCACTGTTTTATGTTACAGCATGGTGGGGTTCAAAAAGAAATTCGACCACAACTGTGAACTGAGCATGATCCCCCAAACTCCCTTGACCATTAGTAATGATTAGACACGAAACAATTTGTGTCATTATAACAAGATAATTTAAGCTTTAATAATAATTTTACAGAATACTAAAGTATGCAACTGGGAAAATGATAAAGGCTTCACTGTGCCTCGATCTAACACAGTTCATTATAAACAATCATGCTTCCCACGAACAACAATCACTTGGAACCAACAGGACAATGCCGCTGTGGACTCGACATTAATCGCGAGTTTCAAGGCTGCCCTGGCACCCGCTAGGAGCCGTTAAGATAGCCGCATCGATTACCAAACCGTTGCACATATCTCAGTACATGGTTGCAGCAACGTAGTCTATCAGAATCAGAATGCGTTTCGGCACATGCCTTCATCAGTACAACAAGAAGGCAATTAAATAAGTATAAATTAAATTTACATAATATATAAGATAAGATAAGATAAGATACGATTCTTTTATTGATCAAATAAATGGAAATGTTTTTTTGATGGCATTATATATTTTCAGCACAAAAATATAACAATTTGAACACAAGACATTTATAATAAATTATTTCAAACAGCCATTCAGTGAGTTCTCTTAGCAAAATCGGGGACTTATTAGTTCTCATTCAGATGTGTGACTTCAGAGGAAGCATGCCGGTAAATTCATACAGATTAGGGAACAAAAGAATTTTTATATCTGTCAGTCCTTGCCCTGATGGAAAGAATTCATCCCGAACGGGCCGATCCTAAGTATCTGAAGTATGAAGAGGGTGGGATTGATCATCCAAAATGTGTTTAGTTTTACCAAAACATCTTTCTTCAAATAGTTCTTCAATTGATGGATGTGTTATGTTCCTAGCTTTCTTGATTAGTCGGTTTATGCTGTGTTTATTATCAGATGTTGAATTCCCACACCAGCAGGTAATACTGAAATTAAGCGGGCTTCCAATTGTTGCACTGTAGAATAAGTAAACGATTTGCTTGTTTACAACTAAATTGTACAGTTTTTTGAGGTAGAACAGTCTTTGGTTGAATTTCTTATACAGCATTTGGCCGTGCTCATGCCATGTTAGCTTATTATTAATGGTGACACCTAAGTACTTGTAAGTCTTCACTTTCTCCAAATTTTGATTTTTTATGTTGAGATCTGTAATCTGGTGTTTCCCCCTCCTGAAATCAAAAACCATTTCTTTTGTATTTGAGACATTCAACTGGAGAAAATTTTCATCGCACCAATTGATAAAGCTTGTTACTAAGTTGCTGTATAGACCTTCTCCTTTAGATATTAAGCCAACAATGGTGGTATCATCAGCAAATTTTAAGATTGTAACGGTGAATCAGTATATTATGTCTAATCTTGTTAAAGGCGTATAGTATTTGATTATAAATATCACACTGGCCACTCTTATAGTCAAAGTCTTACTTCCCGTAGTTTGCAAATAGGCTATCTGTATTTTAATTCATTATTTTTTGTAACATCACAAGTTTAAAGATTAAAATAACACTGTAATTAATTACCTTTACATCAATATCAAGGTCTAAAATTTTAATAATAGTTCTTGCTAAGTATGTATCATCTGTAATCTATTTTCAAATTATATTTCATCATAAAAGCATGACTTTTAAAGTAGGGATAGGTGTTAATTATACAATATTTTATGATGGTATTAGACATCAAAAAATATTTTTATTTGCATAACTTTAAATTTAGTCGACGCCATGTGCGTTGAGTTATACAAAATAGAAAATTTTCAAAAAATGAGATTTTTTAAAAATTAAGAATTTAACGGACGCTTACAAAAAGTGCAAAGTTCATCAACTATTATATGGAAAGCGTTTGCGTTTTCTTTTGCGTGTGCTAATTTTGTAACAATGTTTCCTGAATAACAGAGGGAAATATATAGCCTATATTTATTATGCCACACCTATGTGCACTGATTTTTTAAAAATTATTTGTTTTTCTAGTTAGAGATCTACCTGAAAATTAAACAAAACAAAAAAATAAGAACCAAAAAAAATAATTTTTTTGTGAACTAGCATTTCGATGATCATGTCAATTCTATAAAAAAAAATTGATACTAGTCTTAGAAAAAAATCTTACTTCTAATTTGTTCAATTTAAAATAAAATTATGCGGATATGTTTTAAAGTAGTCTATATCTAAGAGGCACTTTGTAATTTATCTGAAAAAATGTATAGTATTTTGAAATTACAAATAAACATTTCAATCAGCTAAATAATAAGAAATATATACTTCATTTAAATATGATTTCCCTTGGATAAAATCACACATTAATAAATATATAATGTCTCTCGTAAACAACTTACGGTACATCTACTTAAAATAGTTACATCGTTCAGATACGCTTTATAAAAATGACCAGTTTTCAAAACCCATAAAAATGTATAGACCTTTCTAATTAACAGTTCTTTTTTTACTTTTGATTCTGGTAAAATTTTCAAAAGTTTATTCTAATTATTATAAGCAAGTTGTTGTTTGTTTTTCCATTTGCATTCAGCATATAAAATAAGATTTGGAATGCTTTTTAATGATGGAAACATTATTATTATTATTTGTGTGTGTGTGTTGAAAATTCATTTATTAAATAGCTATCCCCAAAATAGTGTAAATAAGAAATAAAAGCAATGTTTACTATTTTTTAGTAATATACAATATTTTGTGTGCATAACACAAGCGCAGGTCATACACTTTGCCGTTTCGCCCCCCCCCCCCTTATTTTTTGCACCCTGCATTGAAAGAGGATAATTAAGAAAATATCCACATCACATCTTTAAAACCCTAAAATATCTGAGGCACCCTTCAGTCGAAGGGATTGCTGGGCGCACACGATGATTATAAACTTAAGTGACACTTACATTTTTTAACTAAGATCTCTTCCGTTGCTCTCGAATTAAAGTGTAGACTGTTGCAAAACTAAATTCCGATATGTGATAAAATGCATTCTTTTATTTGTAGTTTAGCTAAAAATTATGGAGACTATAAAGATTTAAGGGGCGAAAAAACTATGGCAAAATCATAGCCTTACGGTGACACCTCACTAGAATGAATTTAGTTTACGTCCCACTGGTACGGAATTTAAGATGTCTTTGATCATTATTATGGCTAATTTTGGCACTTCCCTTCCGAAATTGAAATGCAACCTCAAAATTGTCTGACATAAACAACAAATCCAGGTATGAGCCAAAATTCACCCCTGCATTTTGAGTTTGCACGACTGTCTTTAGCACCCTAAATTTCTTCACCACGCTGATCCATGGTACAGTATGGGGTTAATTATAAGCTTGTGACAAATGCTTACTTTTTGGGCATGCCACAAACAGAGTCAATTCAGTTCATGTATGGCACTGGGCGCCATAATGCCTCCCACAAAACCTAAAAAATGTCTTTCCCCGTTTAAAAAATATAATAGAAACATTGACTTCACGTAAACTAAATAATACTTCGACGACACTAGCAGGGGCATATCTAGAGTGTTTGGCCTCACAATTCTGAAACTGATTTTTTGCAACCATTAAATGCCATCAAAGCAAATTTTTACCCCCCCCCCCTCCTCCTTGCTAGTCTGGCGTCCCGGGACATATGCCCCATCTGCCACCCCTTTGCCACTGGTAAATGGCACAGCCCCCCCCCCCCCCAAAATTTGAAAAGCCCCACCTGGGGAAAATGTCTGAAAAAAACACTAAGAATGAACATTCTGCCAAAAGGCCTAATAAGGGGAGAGACTGCAATCAGGTTAGTACAAAATAAAATGAGTAAAACAGAGTAGGGTTAAACCTGAAAAAATAAACGCAACAAAACAGCGAACGTGTCGGCAGAAAGCCTTCGTCAGCGAACAAAAAGAATATTTGTATCTGACAAGCTTCCAAAAAAACTGAGTAAAAATAGAGACATTCAAGAAATTTACTCAGGGGGCGTCCATTAATTACGCCACCATTTTTACGAAATGTTGACCCCCCCCCTCCCCGGCAACAACTTTCAAACTTTAAATGACCCCCCTCCCCCACCCCAAGTACTTTTGTTAACATTTAATACCCCACCCCCCAAAATGTTGATGGCTGTCTCTCCGGCACTGCTGACTTGGTGTACAGAGTGCCACAGGGGTTAGTTTTAGGCCCGGTTCTATTCATAATGTATACCAGGCCACTGCTCCTCTCGCTCGGGAGGCATGCTGTGGAGAGCCAGTCATTTGCAGATGACACACAGCTATACAAGCATACCCATCCCTCTCTTGTCGATTCTGCTGTCCAGACTTTGCGGGAGAGCATTGGTGATATCAAATCATAGATGACACTCAGCAAGTTGAAGCTTAACGCTGACAAAACGGAAGCACTCCTTTTTCACGATCACAAATCATCCTGTAATTCAGCTCTCCCCACTTCATTTCATGTATGTAACGCCTATATACAGTTCACATTCTCCGCTAGGAATCTTGATTACATTCTGTCTAACAACATGTCTTTCACATTCTTCGCTCTGCATACACCGCTATTCGTCAGATCAGCTTCATCCACCAATACCTTGTTAGTGCAACAAAACCCTAGTCTGTGCTCTAGTTCTCTCTCATCTTGACGATTGTAACTCTCCTCTATCAGGTTCACCAAAACACTTCTTAGAAAAATTACAAAAGGTTCAAAACTCAGCTGCTAGGCTAATTCTAAAGGCAAAATAAAAAACATCATCATATTACACCACTACTTCATTCACTTCATTGGCTCCCTATACAAGCACGTATTGACTACAAACTCTCTGTTCTCTGCCACAACTTTTTCTCGAATTCCTCCCCTTCCTATCTAACCGAACTTCTCTCTGTCTATTCACCCCCTCGACAGCTTCACTTCTCTGCAAATGCGCATATTCTTTCTGTCCCCAAGACTTGCACATGACTTGTATGGTGAACGATCGTTCTTTTTCTGTGCCCCCAAACAATAGAATTCTCTTCCATTACACATCCGCAATATACCGACCATCACACCCTTCAAAACCGCACTGAAAACAAATCTCTTTAAACTCTACTATCCTGACTGATTCCCACCTCTGATGAAAAAACAATGCTGCTGGGTGTCGTCCATGGCTTGACATGGAAATAGTTTTATATATACATTTGTTTTGTTTTATTTAATTAATGTATGTTAAGTAATTATTTTAAAAAATTTTTTGGGGTACCACGTTACATAAAACTAGAGACCGACCGAAAGTGATTTTCTGATTTCGTCCTAAGCCGAAAATAGGCCGAAAGTTTAAAATGACTTTCGACCGAAACCGAAAAAAGGCCAAAAGTTAAAAATAAATTTCGCCGAAACCGAAGTCTAAACCGAAAATGAAATGTTAAGATATTTTGAAATTCGTTCCTGCATAGATTCTGCATACCATCGAAAATTATTTGAGGAAAGTATAAATATTTACATTATTTTTTATAAAAAATGAGATAATCGTGAATATTAATAAATAAACATCTAATATAGGGGTCTCAAACTCGCGGCCCGCGAGCCATTTGTGACCCGCAAGACGATATTTTGCGGCCCGCTACATGACAGAAAAGTTTAGTGTAAATGCGCCGGCCAGTTTCCCCATTCTCATATCTATAACATGTCTCTCCGCAACGATTTCAGTCGAATCTCGCCGACTAGTCTAATTCTGATATCCTAGTGAATCCTAGTTCTTGAGAACCCTTAATGATTTTTTGTTTTTTATAAAGGTTGAGCAGATTGTAACAGTTGTAATCGCTTTTTTGTGGATTACTTGATGTGGCCCACTCTCATTCAGACACTAGCTCCTGCGCGCCCCCCCCCCCTCTCTGATGATTTAAGTTTGAGACCCTTGATCTAATGAATACTTTGGATTTTACCATTTTAATATAAAAGTAATTTAAATTGCTTTACAATTTTTTAAAATTAGTATGGTAGGAGAAAATTTGGCGAAAATTGGGGTGGGGGGGGGGGGAATTAATGCAAAATATTATTTTTTTAAACCATGTCTCTAAAAATTGTGGTTCTAAAAGATCGCTTAATTTGTTTTTAAAGATAGTTTAGTTAGTTGTTATTGATCGGTTAGTTTGTTCCTAAAGATCGGTGAGTTTGTTCATAAAGATCGCTTAATTTGTTCTAAAATATTGCTAAGTTTAATCTTAAAGATCGCTTAGTTTGTTCTTAAAGATTGCTTAGTTTGTTGTTAAATATCGTTTAGTTTGTTCTTAAAGATCATTTAGTTTGTTATTAAAGATCATTTAGTTTGTCTTTACAGATCATTTAGTTTGTTGTTAAAGATCATTTAGTTTTTCTTTACAGATCATTTAGTTTGATGTTAAAGATCGTTTAGTTTGTTGTTAAAGATCATTTAGTTTGTTGTTTAAGATTGTTTAGTTTGTTGTTAAAGATCCTTTAGTGTGTTCTTAAAGATTGCTAAGTTTGTTGTTAAAGATCGTCCAGTTTTTGTAAATGATCGCTTTATTTGTTCTTAAAGATCATTTAGTTTGTTCATAAAGATCGCTTAGTTTGTTGTTAAATATCGCTTAGTTTGTTGTTAAAGATCACTTAATTTTTTCATAAAGATCGATTAGTTTGTTCTTAAAGATAATTGATTTTGTTCTTTAAGATCGATTAGTTTGTTCTTAAAGATCTTTTAGTTTGTTCCTAAAGAACATTTAGTTTTCTGTTAAAGATCGTTTAGTTTATTCTTATAAATATTTAGTTTACTATTGAAGATCATTTGTTTTGTTCCTAAAGATCATTTAGTTCGGTCTTAAAAATCGTTTAGTTTGTTCTTTAAGATCGTTTAGTTTGTTATTAAAGATCGATTAGATAGTTCTTAAAGATTGCTTAGTTTGTTTTAAAGATCGTTTAGTTTGGTTCATAAATGTTGTTTAGTTTGTACTTAAATATCGTTTAGTTTGTTCTCAAAGATCGCTTAATTTGTTCTTAAATGTCGCTTAGTTTGTTGTTAAATATCGCTTTTGCTGAGTATTAAATGACCGAAAACCTGAGTCACTTTTTAAGTCAGTTTCGGCAGAAACCAAAGAAAAACCAAAAGTTAACTTTTCTCTTTCGGCCGAAACCAAAATTAAGCCGAAAGTTAACTTTTCAGTTTCGGCTGAAACCAAAACTTGGCAGAAAGTGATAAAATGGCCACTTTCGGCGCCGAAACCGAAGCCAAAGCCGAAATTTGGTCGGTCTCTACATAAAACCACTTATAATAATAATAATAAGCCCCCTTACCACCTGCTGCTTTTTGCCTGTCTTTATTTTTGCAGCATTACAAAAAAAAAGAAAAAGAAGTAACAAAAAGATGTTGAAATCTGTTGGTGTGTGAGCTATAAATATATCTGATCCACAAAATTTGACAAATAAATAGGTTAAATGATATTGAAGGTCTGGTAGTTCTGCTGCTGCCGCTGCTGCACTTATTTTATCAATTTGAAATTTTAAAAAAAAAAAAAAAAAAAAAAACAAAAAAAAAAAAAAAAAAAAAAAAAAAAAAAAAAAAAAAAAAAAAAAAATTAAATAGGTTAAATGATATTGAAGGTCTGGTAGTTCTGCTGATGCCGCTGCTGCACTTATTTTATCAATTTGAAAATTTAAAAAAAAAAAAAAGCCAAAACGCAGAAAGAATGATAAATACAAGACAAAAAGTAAATAACAATCACAAATGACTTATGTAAAGTTAGAATTGTTCTTTTGGAAAATTTTAAAACTTCACCATTTCAGGCTGCAAGAAGCAAGACTTGAAGTTTTGAAACAATTGCTCAAACAGAGAGAAGAAAACCACCAAGAATTGAATATTAAGAGATTGGATCAACTTTGGTAATTTTTTACCTTAAGTTTGTAGAGCTAGCCATTTAAGAGTTGCTAAGAGCATAATTTATGGAAGATCATATGTAAATTATTTGGCTTTAAGGAGATCCACGTTGTAGGGTTGAATCCAGATTTAGTTTCAATTGTTGAACATCTAAAGCTTGAGTGACACATGTTTTCACAAAGGCTAAAATAACCATAGAGAGATAGCTGTACATTTGCACATATATTTCTAAGTCTAAATATATTTCTTAGGACCTAGACAACACTGTACATTTGCATATACATTTCTAAGTCTAAATATCTTTCTTAGTACACAATAGGGCACTGTATTTTCCTGAAGTTGTTTAGAAATGAATGCAGTATTGTCCAGTCTCCTCCTATTAAGAGATATGTTTTGGAAAAAAGCATTCAGGAATCACTTTTGTTTTCATAATATCACAGACCTTTAGCTGTTTCTATTTCCATAGTTGCACATACCTTTAGCTGTCTCTATTTTCATAGTATCACAGACCTTTAGCTGTCTCTATTTTCGTAGTATCACAGACCTTTAGCTGTCTCTATTTTCGTAGTATCCCAGACCTTTAGCTGTCTCTATTTCACCTTTGACCATAAAATGTAAGCTCTTTCCCCCTTTAAAAGCCTTTTGGTATCATATCATTATTTTCATTGTATGATTTATTATTGATTTGATTTGTACATTATTTTGTTCATATCCATTTATCAACCAGGGCTGTGAAACAAAAAAATAAAGAGGCAAGAATAAAGAAAATAAGGAATGAACATATTAAAGGTAAAAAATAAACATTTTTGGGTGCTTTCTAGACTTAATAAGCAATGCTGTTTAATTATAACTAGATTATATTTTCAACAACACTGTAAAACACAATAAAATATTCAGGGCAAAAGTCTTATTCCAGGCTATCACAGGTAATAGGTAGACCTTTATTTACTATATATATATATATATTTTGATGTATAAACAAAAATCTGAAATAGATCTCTTTCCAAAGGATATTTACTTATAAAAGCAGTCACACCTCTTTAACTAAAGTAAAAAGAAGCTTAAATAGAAATTCATTTCTTATTTGTCACTTAAATGAAATATATATAAATTACATAAGTGAAATATTTTTGTTATGGATTTGACCATTGAAAATATTTTAGATGCCATTTATAATTCAAATTGTTTTAGATGTTTATTGCTATTATACACTTAGTGTGAAGTTAAAACGGAGAAGGAGGCAAATATTTTCCAGCTATTAAATTGATTGGTTTTGTTATCTAAAGTTTTTTATTTACTTTTCAGCTATTCGAAAATTAACAGAAAAGCGTGCCAAATTAGAAACCAGTTTTTTTCGAAGAGCCATTATTCAAGAATATTCTGACTCAGGTTCCCAAAGCTTTGCTCCTTTAACAAGACTTGGAGTTTTCTTGGATCGGGGTTCGGAGCAGTACCTTGTTAAGTCAAAGCACCTATCAACCTACCAAGTAATAATTGGATTGTATAGAGCAGTTTTAGTGAACCAAAACATGCTACACTAATGTTTGCTCAAGCTTTAAACTGAATGTGGGACTTGCTTTTTAAAAATCCCATTTGAAACTGTTGCGTACCGCTCTAATGTGTAGAGAATTTAATCTCTTATTTTACTATATGGCTAGTGACAAACAGAACACAACAAAGGATGATACCATTAATTGAAAACAATAATAAAGGATAACCAAACCAGGGCTAATTAAAAATAATAATTTATTAATCTAGCTTTACAATAAAAAATCAAATAGAATAAAACTATCCTCTTACAGTACAGTAATGAACTGGTACTGGTACAATGTTTGGAAGGTGTACAAACATACAATAAATAGTAAATACAAATCTACATTCATTACAGTATATGATCTATTAGTCTCACTCTCGACTCGTATCGAAATCACAAAATCTGTCACTCTCTTTGTCTCGCAGTCTCCATCCATCTCTCTGTCAAATGGCTTATTTATAGTCCTTTATAGACAATTTTCCAGAAAAGGGGTTACAGCCAGCGTTCCCTCCTTTGTACCTAGTGCCTTCTTGTAAGTTCCATTGTAAATTCCACGAAACTTGACTAGATGCTGTGTTTACATGTATCAAGGTCAGGGGAGACAATTTATAATTAGGCCACACCCATTGTGTTGTCATACTTGGGGTTACCCAGAGTTCATGCATGAGAAACATGACATTCAATGTAAATAAGGCAAGCATTTACCATAACAAAAACCCAAGAAATCATCAGCTGATAATTTAAAGTAGTCATTCTTTAATTGTATCTCTTTTGTCTTTTCTTAACTCTGCAACTACTGTCAAGAATTCATATTTTTTATGTTTGTCCACCCTTTTTACTTGTAAAATTGTATTAAAGAAATCAATGCCTCTTTAGTATATTGAATATCAACAGAGAAACCATTATTCTGTAGCAGTGTTTCCCAAAGTTGGGTGCATGCCAGTTTGAATATTAAAGTAGCAATGTTTTGTTTTTGAATGGGGAAATTTAGATTTAAAAGAAAAAAGAAGTTGAAAGGAGACTTTGAAAGTTGCTCACTGTTTTGATTGTAATTTATTGTAATAAAAATATATTTTACTTATTGTAAGCGTCATCCTACAACATGGAATATTGAGGCCTTAACAGGGGGTTGAAATTAAAATTCCATCTTCCTGACAGCAGCACGGAGACCTATATTTTTAAAAATCCTTTTCCACTTAAAAAAGCAACAGAACATTAGCAAAATAATGATGACACAATGGCAAAGCTGAAAATAAGCAGAGTAACATAATTATTTTTTGTCAGTACCCTTATATTTCTTGAAAATTTTATAAAAATATATGGCATCCTTCTGTCTTCGTGAGACGATGGAGTAGCTATGTAGTCGTACACTTCGCCGAGTGGCTCACTAGGCCAATCCTGGAATGACAGTCTCAACTGCATTTCTCGCAGGAGAATATTGAATCCTGCTTATGTTTGGTCTTCTGTATTGTTCTTTTTGTTTCAAGGGCTTACTTTTGCTCATCTTCTGCCTTTTTGACTCCTTCATACACTGCTGTTCACCAGCTAGAACATTGTTCTGCAATGACCTCCCATTTGTTGATATAAATGTTTGCCTCCCTCAGGCTTCTTTTGCAAACATCCTTAAATCTCAGGCATTGCCCAACAACAAGTCTTGACCCTTCTGCCAACTCTCCATAAAGCAGCATCTTTGGGATAAGGCCTTACTTATAAAAATAACATTTGACATTTATATTAGTTGTAAAAAAACAACAAAAAAGGTAATAACCCCCCCCCCCTGACCAATTCCTTTCTAAAATCCAAAATGTTTGTTCAGGCCAATGAAATGATGTTATCTAGATAAATACTATTTAGGAATATGTAATAGTATTTTTTTTTACATTTAGCATTTTTGTATGTATTAAAACTCTTTAGGGCTTACTGGAATTGGAGGCTTCACTGCCTGATTTTGTCATGCACCCAAGGGTGAAAGCTCCTAAGCCAGTAACTGTGACAGACACTGGATTCATAAAGAGAAAATACAAGAAAGAAAAAGAGCTTACTGAAGCCTATGAGGTAGGAAAATTCAAATTGAATTGTGAGTTAATTAGCTTTACATTTTTAAACCTTCAAAATGAAGATTAGTCTAACTTATAATAGTGATTATGAAACACTCATCATTCTTGAAGAGTCTTGATTTTAATCATAGCAAAGCTTAAAAAACTCTTTAAAAATCTTTAAAAAATCAGATAAATATTAACTAGAGTGACAATTATTGAATAATTGAGTGTACTCCAGGGGCTCTTGTCGTCGTGTCGATCAATGACATGTTTGATAAAGAGGCGCTCGCCACGAACCCCCTGAAGCGTTACCCGGGGAACAGTACCACCGTGTAGGGGACCCGCGCTGAAAGGCAAAGGTAACGCACGGAGACTGCGTTAATTCGAGCACGATTGCATGGCTTCCCACCAAGTGCAGTCGAACTATTTTACTAAACGCAGAAACAGGTTGGGACATGATTACAGTTGCCGTATGGATATGAGGTGAAGGTGTGTGGCAACCTTTCACCGGTGATTTTAAATATGCAGTCTTGAGGGCACTGCTCCTAGGCAACCTCTCTCTCCCATCTACGGTGTGAATTAGTCACACCGTAGAATAACCATACAAACCCTAGTAGAGGGCGTCGGTCTTAAACAACTACGCGGTCCCCCCGGGGTGGTAAGGGGGGACTTTAGAGACGTTAAATATCCACCCCAACCCCTTAGAAAGTCCGGCCCTGTTGCTGCGTGAGCAGCAATCCGGCTGGCCAGGTGTTTCTTCTCTGGGGCTGCCACACTCAGCGGCCAATCGAGTGGAGGTCGGGTGTGGCGGTCTTAGGGGCGGAGCGTCCCTGGCGTGCCGCTTCGCGGCCCGATCGGAATAAAGACCACTGGGGGAGTGGTTGACGGCCGGTTTGGTTGGCGGGGTGGTTCTTAGGGGCGGAGCGTCCCTGGCGTGCCGCTTCGCGGCCCGATCGGAATAAAGACCACTGGGGGAGTGGTTGACGGCCGGTTTGGTTGGCGGGGTGGTGCGTTGGGGAGGACCATATGAGCCTCAAGGCTCGGTGTTCGCTGATTTTCTTAAGTTAGTTAGTTAGTGTACTCCAGGTGTTACTTACAAATGTGCCAGAATTTTATAAAAACATGATTAGGTGTTATTGCTGTACAGCATATGTTAAGTAGGCCTAGCTCTGGTATAGTTGGTAATTATAAATTAATTTACTTCAAAAGCATTTTGAGCTTGTTAAAAATATGACAAATTTAAGCAACAATTGGGAATTTAAAATTTGATATTGATCTCGAGACACATTTCTATAAATGATTATGCACTTTATTTACAATAGGCTATCTATTTGTATTAAAAGAACAGCAATTTTTAACTTGATTATTTATATTTATCATTCATTCATTGTTTTTATGGATGATAACAGTAAATAAAATTTATTGAGAAAATGTCTTTTAGACTTAGACTAAGTTAAACAGGGTTAGATAATCATTTATACTCAGACTAAGTATTAAAATTAAGTACTGATCACCTGGCTACTATATTATTATATTTTTATCAAAGATACCAAATGTTTTACTTGTAGCGAATGTGAACATTTATCTTTCTTTCTTATATTTTATTGTGTAATTTATAACTAAAATTGAAATTTGAGTCAATAGGTATTAAAAAAAGAAGTGGATATTCGGACCCGGGTCCGCGAAGTGAGAGGTAGGGATTAAAATAAAATTTTTAATGTTAGGTTGTAAGACTAAATTTGGTATCAAATGAAAGATAATTGAATGGACTATATGTTTGAAAACTTACTTCTTCAGTTTAACTAAAATAAACTACCACAAATGACATCCGAATAGTTTGAGTCTAATGGGACCCAGGTCTGAATAGCTGCGATGCGTTTCCGGTTCCATTTTGACTAAATTTGCATCCATTAAAAAATATATCTATCTAAAATATGTTCTACAAAAACATTCAACAAAAAGCCTGGAGTCACCAAACTCAACAAAGTAAAGCTTATTGATTAATGATACATTTACCTCATTTGCTTAAAATATATAATGCAGGCAATGAGAACTCTTCGACTTGAAACTGAGGTAACATTCATAATTATTGGTTAGCTTAAATCATATTACTTTTCAGATATTATTAAAGTCATTTACATTGTTTTTAGCTTTTGTTACAATTAATTTTTAAATATGTTGTTTTTTAAAGTAATAAAGTCCATTAAATAATTCTACAAAAATTTCTACTTGCTTTAAAAGGAAAGTATATTTTCAAGTGTTAATGGATGCTATACAATTGTTGGTTGTTTTTTTTTTCTCTCATTTAATTTGTATATTTCATTAACTAGACATCATTCAACAATAATAACACAAAGATAAACTCAGCAGTTGTGCTTTCAAAGATAATGGACAAACTTAAAGACTAATCTAAATAAACCAGACCAGGATTTCCAGAATTCATTGGCCATAAAAACAAATTATCAGGTTGCTAAAAGAAAAAAACATGTCATTTTGTCTATGAAGGCTTGTATTCTGCAATAGATATTAATGAGCAAATTTGCAGACCCTACTCTTGTAGGGTTATAAATAAATTTCTCCAGCACTTGCATTGTTGCCAGTAGCAAGCTAGGTTTTGATACTAGAGACATGATGCTACATATGTTTTAGGAAGGCTTGCCTGACATGATGGCTATGAATGTATGAGGAATGCTTGCCTGACATGATGGCTATGTATGTATGAGGAATGCTTGCCTGACATGATGGCTATGTATGTATGAGGAATGCTTGCCTGACATGATGGCTATGAATGTATGAGGAATGCTTGCCTGACATGATGGCTATGTATGTATGAATGTATGAAGAATGTTTGCCTAACATGATGGCGTTAACCACTGGTCATGAGGCTATGTTTGAATCATAAGTTAAATAGCGTTTGATAATCATTTATACTCAGGCTAAGCATTAACTACTGACCTGATGGTTATGTGTGGCCTGATGGTTATGTGTGACCTGATGGTTATGTGTGGCCTGATGGTTATGTGTGGCCTGATGGTTATGTGTGGCCAGATGGTTACGTGTGGCCTGATGGTTACGTGTGGCCTGATGGTTATGTGTGACCTGATGGTTATGTGTGACCTGATGGTTATGTGTGACCTGATGGCTATGTTGTGACCTGATGGGTTTGTGTGACCTGAGGGTTATGTGTGACCTGATGGTTATGTGTGACCTGATGGTTATGTGTGACCTGATGGCTATGTTGTGACCTGATGGTTTTGTGTGACCTGAGGGTTATGTGTGACCTGATGGTTATGTGTAAACTGATGGTTATGTATGACCTGATGGTTATGTATGACCCGACAGTTATGTGTGACCTGATAGTTATGTGTGACCTGATGGCTATGTTGTGACCTGATGGTTTTGTGTGACCTGAGGGTTATGTGTGACCTGATGGCTATGTGTGACCTGATGGTTATGTGTAAACTGATGGTTATGTATGACCTGATGGTTATGTATGACCTGATGGTTATGTATGACCTGATGGTTATGTATGACCCGACGGTTATGTGTGACCTGATGGTTATGTGTGGTCTGATGGTTATGTATGACCCGATGGTTATGTGTGACCTGATGGTTATGTGTGGCCTGATGGTTATGTATGACCTGATGGTTATGTGTGACCTGATGGTTATGTGTGACCTGATGATTATGACCCGATGGTTATGTGTGACCTGATGGTTATGTGTGGCCTGATGGTTATGTATGACCTGATGGTTATGTGTGACCTGATGGTTATGTGTGACCTGATGATTATGTGTGACCTGATGGTTATGTGTGACCTGATGGCTATGTGTGACCTGATGGTTATGTGTAAACTGATGGTTATGTGTAAACTGATGGTTATGTATGACCTGATGGTTATGTATGACCTGATGGTTATGTATGACCCGACGGTTATGTGTGACCTGATGGTAATGTGTGGTCTGATGGTTATGTATGACCCGATGGTTATGTGTGACCTGATGGTTATGTGTGGCCTGATGGTTATGTATGACCTGATGGTTATGTGTGACCTGATGGTTATGTGTGACCTGATGATTATGTGTGACCTGATGGTTATGTGTGGCCTGATGGTTATGTGTGACCTGATGGTTATGTGTGGCCTGATGGTTATGTGTGACCTGATGGTTATGTGTGGCCTGATGGTTATGTGTGACCTGATGGTTATGTGTGGCCTGATGGTTATGTGTGGCCTGATGGTTATGTGTGACCTGATGGTTATGTGTGGCCTGATGGTTATGTATGACCTGATGGTTATGTGTGACCTGATGGTTATGTGTGGCCTGATGGTTATGTATGACCTGATGGTTATGTGTGGCCTGATGGTTATGTGTGGCCTGATGGTTATGTATGACCTGATGGTTATGTATGACCTGATGGTTATGTGTGGCCTGATGGTTATGTATGACCTGATGGTTATGTGTGGCCTGATGGTTATGTGTGGCCTGATGGTTATGTATGACCTGATGGCTGTGTATGACCTGATGGCTATGTATAACCTGATGGGTATGTATGACCTGATGTCTACGTGTGACCTGATAGTTACATATGACCTGATGGTTATGTATGACCTGATGGTTTTGTATGACCTGATGGTTATGTGTGACCTGAGGGTTATGTGTGACCTGATGGCTATGTGTGACCTGAGGGTTATGTGTGACCTGATGGCTATGTTGTGACCTGATGGTTTTGTGTGACCTGGGGGTTATGTGTGACCTGATGGCTATGTGTGACCTGATGGTTATGTATGAACTTATGGTTATGTATGACCTGATGGTTATGTGTGACCTGATGTTTATGTGTNCTACGTGTGACCTGATAGTTACATATGACCTGATGGTTATGTATGACCTGATGGTTTTGTATGACCTGATGGTTATGTGTGACCTGAGGGTTATGTGTGACCTGATGGCTATGTGTGACCTGAGGGTTATGTGTTGCCTGATGGCTATGTTGTGACCTGATGGTTTTGTGTGACCTGAGGGTTATGTGTGACCTGATGGCTATGTGTGACCTGATGGTTATGTATGACCTTATGGTTATGTATGACCTGATGGTTATGTGTGACCTGATGTTTATGTGTAAACTGATGGTTATGTGTGACCTGATGGTTATGTGTGACCTGATGGTTATGTGCGACCTGATGGTTGTGTGTGACCTGATGGTTATGTGTGACCTGATGGTTATGTATGACCTGATGATTATGTGTGACCTGAGGGTTATGTGCGACCTGATGGCTATGTGTGAGCTGATGGTTATGGGTGACCTGAGGGTTATGTGTGACCTGATAGCTATGTTGTGACCTGATGGTTTTGTGTGACCTGAGGGTTATGTTTGACCTGATGGCTATGTGTGACCTGATGTTTATGTGTGACCTGATGGCTATGTGTGACCTGATGTTTATGTGTGACCTGATGGTTATGTATGATCTGATGGTTATGTGTGACCTAAGGGTCATGTGCGACCTGATGGCTATGTGTGAACTGATGGTTATGTGTGACCTGATAGCTATGTTGTGACCTGATGGTTTTGTGTGACCTGAGGGTTATGTGTGACCTGGATGCTATGTGTGACATGATGTTTATGTGTGACCTGATGGTTACGTGTAAACTGATGGTTATGTTTGACCTGATGGCTATGTGTGACCTGATGGTTATGTATGACCTGATGGTTATATGTGACCTGATGGTTATGTGTGACCTGCTGGCTGTGTGTGACCTGATGGTTATGTGTGACCTGATGGTTATATTTGACATGAGGGTTATGTATTACCTGATGGTTACGTATGAACTGATGGTTATGAGTGACCTGATGGTTATCTGTGACCTGATGGTTGTGTGTGACCTGATTGCTGTGTCTGACCTGATGGTTATATGTGACTTGATGGTTATGTGTGACCTGGTGGCTTTGTATGACCTGATGGTTATGTGTGACCGGATGGCTTTGTATGACCTGATGGTTACATGTGACCTGATGGTTATGTGCGACCTGATGGCTTTGTGTGAACTGATGACTATGTATGACCTGATGGCTATGTATGACTTGATCGCTATGTATGACCTGATGGCTATGTATGACCTGATGGCTGTGTATGACCTGGTGGTAATGTGTGACTTGATGGTTATATGTGACCTGATGGATGTGTATGACTTGATTGCTGTGTATGACCTGATGGTTATGTGTGACCTGATTGTTAAATGTGACCTGATGGTTATGTGTGACCTGATGGTTATTTATGACCTGATGGTTATGTGTGACCTGATGGTTATGTGTGAACTGATGGTTATGTGTGACCTGATGGTTGTGTGTGACCTGATTGCTGTGTCTGACCTGATGGTTATATGTGACCTGATGGCTTCGTGTGACCTGATGGTTGTGTGACCTGATTGCTGTGTCTGACCTGATGGTTATGTGTGACCGGATGGCTTTGTATGACCTGATGGTTACATGTGACCTGATGGTTATGTGCGACCTGATGGCTTTGTGTGAACTGATGACTATGTATGACCTGATGGCTATGTATGACTTGATCGCTATGTATGACCTGATGGCTATGTATGACCTGATGGCTGTGTATGACCTGGTGGTAATGTGTGACTTGATGGTTATATGTGACCTGATGGATGTGTATGACTTGATTGCTGTGTATGACCTGATGGTTATGTGTGACCTGATTGTTAAATGTGACCTGATGGTTATGTGTGACCTGATGGTTATTTATGACCTGATGGTTATGTGTGACCTGATGGTTATGTGTGACCTGATGGTTGTGTATGACCTGATTGCTGTGTCTGACCTGATGGTTATATGTGACTTGATGGTTATGTGTTACCTGATGGTTTTGTATGACCTGATGGTTATTTGTGACCTGATGGTTGTGTGTGACCTGATGGCTTTTTATGACCTGATGGTTTTATGTGACCTGATGGTTATATGTGACCTGATGGTTATGTGCGACCTGATGGCTTTGTATGAACTGATGGCTATGTATGACCTGATAGCTATGTATGACTTGATGGCTATGTATGACCTTATGGCTGTGTATGACCTGGTGGTAATGTGTGACTTGATGGTTATATGTGACCTGATGACTGTGTATGACCTAATTGCTGTGTATGACCTGATGGTAATGTGTGACCTGATTGTTATATGTGACCTGATGGTTATGTGTGGCCTAATGGTTATGTGTGACCTGATGGTTATGTGTGACCTGATGGTTATGTTTGACCTGAGGGTTATGTGTGACCTGATGTCTATGTGTGACCTGATGGTTATGTGTGACCTTAGGGTTATGTGTGACCTGATAGCTTTGTATGACCTGATTGCTGTGTATGACCTGATGGTTATGTGTGACCTGATGGTTATATGTGACCTGATTGCTGTGTGTGACCTGATGGTTATGTGTGACCTGATGGCTATTTTGTGACCTGATGGTTATGTGTGACCTGATGGCTATGTATGACCTGATTGTTATGTGTGAACTTATGGCTATCTATGTCCTGTTAATTTGTTTATGCCTTGTTACTACAAGCTAGTCATGGTCTGGCAAATTAAAACTGTATTCAACAGTCATTAAAAGTTGGGCCTGCTTGTTTGCCGCTGTCACTCCAATCGGAACTCGGACATTTTCATCTTGGCGGATGAAGCACACTTGTCATGGTCTTAACATCGTGGAAATATCCTCAAGTTGATTTAGAGTGGCTTTACAAAATGGCCATCAATCTACTTGGCATGTGAATCATTTTGTACTGATAGTTCATTTCACTGGAACAGTTCTCACATGATATTTCCCCTCCAATGATGAGCGTCACTTTAGCATATCAAGTATAAACAGCACATCATTTTTTTGGGAAAATCTTTGTTCTTTAAGTGTTTGTCATTCAGCAATAATTTTGAAATTGTGCTAAATATCACTCTGTCTTTTCTCATGAGCAGCAGACTGATACAACTTAATGTCAAGGTCTTGAGCAGTAATGGTTGATCACTTTTAATCAATGGTCAACCAACTTTCTGTCAGATCTTCACTTGATCAATGCTGTCAGGATTCTCTGCACACATTTTAGTTAAAGTTTCCTTTTCTTTGCTAAACAACTGCTGCTTTTCATGCAGCAGATCCAGCTTAACAAGGCGGACTTTTGGGGACAAATTATCCTCATTCTTCAAGTCATTCCAAATTTTATTGACTTTCTTTTAAATCTTTTTTATTAACTTCCCTTTTGTTTGTATGTTTCTGGCTGGCTGAAAATTCCGACGCCTAACTGACCCACTTCCTGTCAACCTATTGAGCTGGAACTTGGCACATAGACTCATTGCACATTCCTTAGTGTGTAATATTTTCTTTTCTTTTTCAGAAATTCTTGGAGAAATAAATCTGTGATGTAAAAGTGGGTGGGTCATTCGAATATTAATATAGTAAAGGGGCATGAAAAAATATGCGGTTGCAAGCTTTTGGGGGAGGGAGCACTATTTGAGATTCTTATAAATGGCCTCTTAGTTGTATGCATCTTAGTTGTATGCATCTTAGTTGTATGCATCTTAGTTGTATGCATCTTAGTTGTATGCATCTTAGTTGTATGCATCTTAGTTGTATACATCTTAGTTGTATGCATGTTTTGGATTTATTTGATTATTGTTTTGTTTTCCATTTTTGGTTTGTTAAAAAATGAAACTATTATGTCCCTGAATACCTCTTAAAAATCACACGATCGATAACTGATTGGTTCATTTTTGTGTGAAATGTGTGGCATGTGTCAGATTAGTGGCCCGATTTATATCATTTTTGCCAATGTCAGACCAAAAGCAATATTCATACGGTAGCTTCCTTTTTTTAAAACCTGTTTTGACTGCACAATGTTAGGTACTTTACATACCCCTCAGACCATTTGTTCTTACGCTATTAACATAATTTATCTTGAATGACCATATCTTTTGAACCTTGTTTTTGTTAAATTCCTGCAACTTGATTGCAACATAACTTCCTAGTCATTTGCAACTAGAATCTACAGGTGGAGAGAGCCCAGATTTTGACTTCTCTTGCACTAAAAAGTGTGCTAACATTCTGTCCAGTGCACAGAAAGACAAACATAACATAAATCTTATATTAGTAAAAGCCTAAAAATGATTTGAATATTTTCACCCATTAAACTTTAAAAATATTTTTTACAGATTTTTTTAAAGATCAAAATTGTATTACAGAAAATAGGATTGACATCATATAATCTTAACTCTACCCCTCTCCCTTGTCAACAATTGTTAAACTTTTCCAACCCTTCCCCCATAGACATCCCCTATGTACTGTCAACATTGTCAAGTTCTGGCAGGGCCATGCTGATAGGGGCACCCTGGGCGCCTAAAGCAACGGGGAAAAAATGATCATTCTTACAATTCATATATATATATAAATAATTTTTTTTTTCCCTTGCCACAGCTTTTCCTTTGTATGGCCCTGTTAGTTGAAATAGCTGACATATGTTGAGGCCAAAGGGTTTCCTTGGTATGTCCCTGTTAGTTGAAATAGCTGACATATGTTGAGTCCACTGGGTTTCCTTTGTAGGGCCCTGTTAGTTGAAATAGCTGACATAATTGAGGCCACTGGGTTTCCTTTGTATGGCCTGTTAGTTGAAATAGCTGCCATATTTTGAGGACTCAATGAATGTCTTTCCATTCTGTCTAAGGCAATTAAAGCAGAACAAGAAAGAAGTCAAGATGTTCCACGCGCGCTTCGATTTTTGCAAAGAATTGAAAGGCCAATCCCTCGTCCACCAACTCCTGAAATTGAGATTCTTGATGACGTAAGTTTATCCAAATATTTGTTTCAGTAAATATAAAGTTTACCAATGACTACTAAATTTTTATAATTTTTTATTTCTTAGAAAAATTAATCAGTTATTCCAAAGGGGAATCAATTCACAAATAATTAGAGACAACTTCTTAATGATCAATGGAAATAAAAAATTATATAGAAAGAATGTAGATAATTAGTTAAGTAAATTAGACGTTAAGATAGGCCTGATAGTATCAATTGATAAATAGATAATATAATAATCAGATAAATTAGTTAATTAAATAAGAAGATAAATTTTGTGAGAGAAATGTATTAAGAGTTTTGTTATCTCAATTGTTTACAATCTCAATCAAGTATCCAAACAAAGTTCTTGAAAAGGAGGTACATTTTTTTCTTCATTTTTCCTTTCATTTTATCTTTAAAAAAAACAACAAATATCTGCAGACTTATTCAAAAAATAATATTTTAATTTCCCAAAATTTGATTGAAGTATTGATTTTCTGTTCAGTTTTAATCTCACCTTGTAATTTTATCTTGTTCTCATTTTAAAAAAAAGTTTGTTCCAAAAAATTAGAAAAAAATTATTCAAGTAAAAAAATGAAAATGTTGCTTTATTTTTTTTATACAAACTGACTGGAATTTAAGTTATTTAAAAAAAAAAAGGAAGTAAGTATAGTATAAGTGGCCTTAGGTCAAAGGGCTAGAAGGTAGTAAAATTAGTTATTTGACAGGTGCCTGTACATTTTATTTTGTTTTATCAACATAAAGAATTATGGTGATATTTTGTAAAAGAACAAAATTTGTGAGGGCTTTTTTGGCTTGTGAAGTTAATAATTGAGCATTTTTGTCTCAACAAAGAATGTTAATAAAGATTTCTCTTAATTTTTTATTTTAGGCCTATATTTAAATTTTATGGGACGTGCTCTCCATTTTATATTAAATAGTTTGATTAAAAAATACATTGAACTATTTTTTTTGAGCCGCCTTCAGCCTTGTGTTTTTATGATTAAGATGTTTAATTTTTGATTGAATTTTAACCTGTTCATTAATTTAGTGAACTCAGTAAATTAATAAATGACTTATTGTAAGCTACACAAAATTATTCCTTTATTATTTGTTTAACAACCAAGGAGGAAGAGAACAAAGAATTGGCAGTCATATTTTTGCAACAAGTAATCAGAGGTCGTGCAATTCAAAATAATGTGAGTAATGACCAGATTTCTATTCTAGTAAAAATAATTCAATGTCCTTCACACGCTTTAACATAACCGTTTTCAGCATACTGACAATTTTATGGCCTGTGACAATGGTCATTTTAATTATTGCTTGAATCCTAATTTAAACTATATATGGAAAAGTGATTGGGATATCAGAATATTAATATAGTTGATGGGCATAAAATAAAAAGTGTGCAGGTACGTATCATTGGGGTAAGGGATGTAGCGAAAATTGGGATTCTTAAATGTGCGTTACTGAGTTCATGTTTTGTCAAGTAACTTTAGTAGATGGGAAGTTCACCAATGTTTGGCAAGCTATAACTAGTATTTATTAAAATTTGTAACACAATTGATTTCATTTGCATTTTATTCTCAAGCGCTTTAGAAGTAGATATAATAGTAGTAAATTTATATATACAATGTAGGGTCTGTGTAGGGAGGAAATAGTAGGTGATAGGGTAGGACAGTGTAAGGAGGGTAAAGGTAGAACAGTGTAAGGAGGGTTAGGGAAGGACAGTATAAGGATGGTAAGGGTAGAACAGTGTAAGGAGGGCTAGGGTAGGACAGTGTAAGGACGTAAGGGTAAGACAGTGTTAGGAGGGCTAGGGTAGGACAGTGTAAGGACGTAAGGGTAAGACAGTGTAAGGAGGGTAAGGGTAGGACAGTGTAAGGAGGGTAAGAGTAGGGCAGTGTAAGGAGGGTAAGGGTAGAACAGTGTAAGGAGGGCTAGGGCAGGACAGTGTAAGGAGGGTAAGGGTAGGACAGTGTAAGGAGGTTATGGTAGGACAGTGTAAGGAGGGTAAGGGTAGGACAGTGTAAGGAGGGTAAGAGTAGGGCAGTGTAAGGAGGTTATGGTAGGACAGTGTAAGGAGGGTAAGCGTAGGACAGTGTAAGGAGGGTAAGAGTAGGACAGTGTAAGGAGGGTAAGAGTAGGACAGTGTAAGGAGAGTAAGAGTAGGACAGTGTAAGGAGGTTATGGTAGGACAGTGCAAGGAGGAAATTAGGAGGTGATAGGGTAGGAAAATTTAAGGAGCGTTTGGGTATTACAGTGTAAGGTGGGTAAGGGTAGGACAGTGTAAGGAGGGTAAGTGTAGGATTGTGTAAGGAGGGATATGGTAGGACAGTGTAAGGAGGTTTACCGTAGGACTGTAAGTTGGTAAGGGTAGGACATTGTAAAGAGGGGTCAGTGTAGGACATTGTAAAGAGGGGTCATTGTAGGAAATTGTAAAGAGGTGTCAGTGTAGGATAGTTTAAGAGTGAGGGTGGGAGGGTTGGTCTAAAGGATTTTTCAAGATTGAATGGCATATGCCATGTTCATAAAGGCAGTTCAAAATTGACATATACCATTGTTAAGAATAAAATATTTACATATGAAATTTTCACATATGCATTTTGACATATGTAATAGATTTTTCACACAATGTTTATTTAAACAATGTTCATTGACAGTGTTAATGTTCAATGCTGACATATTATATTTGCAGATGTTTGAAGGTAAAGTGAAACGACGTGAGTTAATAAATGAGATAAGATCAACACATGCACTCCAGGAGAAAGAGCAAAATATGAAGAAACATGAGGAAAAAGCAACACTGGCATTACAGAAACAAAGAAAAATGCATGAACACAAAGTAATGCCCCTTTTTATATAAATATATATTTATTTGAATTGTTATAGGCCATTAAGTTTCTGTGTGGGTCACAGACCAACTACCATAAAAGATATTTTAATAAACCAAGTTCACCACCACACCAGATGTCATTAAACAAAAGTACCACAATTGTATTTATTCAATGTCATTGTTACTAGCCGATGAGTTCCTTTGGAATTGGGATGTTTCTTCTCATCAAATTAATTTAATCATCATTAGCTGCAAGAATTGTTCTTAAGTTTTTAACATTGAAATTAAAATATATGAAACCTGTTATATGCTTAACAAGAAGTTTCTTAATAGAACAGATTGGCTTTTCTTTCAGGAATCATTGATTGATGAATCACTTGCTGAACTAGAGAGTAAGAGCTTAGGAGAAATGTTTGACTTCCTAACTAAAGAACTTGTGCGACTGCAAGAAGAAAGAAGAATACACGCTTTCTCAATGCTGGCAGAGAGGCAAAGAAGAATACGGGAGGCCGAGGAAAGTGGCAGGAGGCAGTGGGAAATACGACGCAGAAGAGAGGAAGATGAAATCTTTAAACAGGTTCAACTACCGAGTTACTGTTTTTTATCTATATGTGTTGTGTCTCAGGTTCAAAGGATCAAATTATCACATTATTAAATTTTACATTTAATGTGATATTTTTGGTTACCGGAAATTTTTTTGAAAGAACAGGAAGTTAGGTCAAATTTTTTTTTCAGTTCACACGATCAAATTTTCGTCAAATTTCTTTTTGAATGCACTATACTATATAGTAAAATAAAATAACCCTAGGTTTATTCAATTCATTTTTTTGTGATATTCAATAATGATTTATCATTATCATGCTCATCAATGTTATCATAAACAATGCTATTGAAAAAATAACACACTTGTGCATGTATCATGGGTTGGTATAATACTCATATAGTGGGCTTATTGCAGATTTTGGCAACCAATTTTGATGTTTTTTGTGATTCTCCGTCAAGACCCATCAGAACAACAATTTTAAGGTTAAAAAAATAATTTTCCCCCACCAATGGGGGTAAGGAAGATAGGTTGCAGAATGAAATAATTACGTCACCAGAACAAAAAGACTAATGTGTTGGTACTAGGCTAAATATTAATACAGCGATATTTTGCCAGCTATTTATGAAAACACAAAGCAATAACCGGGAAACACTTTGATATTTAGGTGACATTTGGCTCTATTATATTGTAGATATGTGTCTAGGTAGCATTTTCATGTATTCCACCCCCACCCCCTCCCCCACCCCCTCTTCCGTCCAAATTTACTCTTACTTTAAAATACATTTTAACAAATTTAAATTACTTTTTAATTAAATTGGTAAAGCACAAATACTCCTTAGATTTTTTAAAATTAATATTCACAATTCACAATGATCTTTTTTTTTTATAAAAAGAATGTGAATACGGATATTTTCCCTCCATTATTTTTCAATGTATGCAGAATGTATGCGTGGAAGAATTTTAAAAGATCTAAATATTTTGGTTTTGGCTTCTGTTTGGGCAGAAAGTCTCATTAACATTTTGGTTTCGGCAGAAAATAATTTTTAATTTTCAGCCTAGTTTCAGTTTTGGACAAAATCAGAAAATCACTCTTGGTTGGCTATATGCTATATTCTTTGTAGGCTTCCTTCTTGTGAGGTTTTGTTTATATGAAGATATGATCTTGTGAGGCTATATTCATATGAAGATATGATCTTATGAGGCTATGCTAATGGGAAGATATGATCTTGTGAGGCTACACTAATGAGAAGATATGATCTTATGAGGCTATGCTAATGGGAAGATATGATCTTGTGAGGCTATGTTAATGGGTAGATGTGATCTTATGAGGCTATGTTAATGGGAAGATGTGATCTTATGAGGCTATGCTAATGGGAAGATTTGATCTTGTGAGGCTATGTTAATGGGAAGATATGATCTTGTGAAGCTATGTTAATGGGAAGATATGATCTTATGAGGGTATATTCAAATGAAGATATTATCTTGTGAGGCTATGCTAATGGGAAGATATGATCTTGTGGGGCTATGTTAATGGGAAGATATGATCTTATGTGGCTATGTTAATAGGAAGATATGATCTTGTGGGGGTATATTCAAATGAAGATATAATCTTGTGAGGCTATGTTAATGGGAAGATATGATCTTGTGGGGGTATATTTATATGAAGATATGATCTTATGAGGCTATGTTAATGGGAAGATATGATCTTATGAGGCTATGCTAATGGGAAGATATGATCTTGTGAGGCTATGCTAATGGGAAGATATGATCTTATGAGGCTATGTTAATGGGAAGATATGATCTTATGGGGCTATGTTAATGGGAAGATATTATCTTATGTGGCTATGTTAATGGGAAGATATGATCTTATATGGCTATGTTAATGGGAAGATATGATCTTATGTGGCTATGTTAATGGGAAGATATGATCTTATGGGGCTATGTTAATGGGAAGATATGATCTTATGTGGCTATGTTAATGGGAAGATATGATCTTATGGGGCTATGTTAATGGGAAGATATGATCTTATGGGGCTATGTTAATGGGAAGATATGATCTTATGGGGCTATGTTAATGGGAAGATATGATCTTATGGGCTATGTTAATGGGAAGATATGATCTTATGGGGCTATGTTAATGGGAAGATATGATCTTATGGGGCTATGTTAATGGGAAGATATGATCTTATGGGGCTATGTTAATGGGAAGATATGATCTTATGGGGCTATGTTAATGGGAAGATATGATCTTATGGGGCTATGTTAATGGGAAGATATGATCTTATGGGACTATGTTAATGGGAAGATATGATCTTATGGGGCTATGTTAATGGGAAGATATGATCTTGTGAGGCTATGTTAATGGGAAGATATGATCTTATGGGGCTATGTTAATGGGAAGATATGATCTTATGGGGCTATGTTAATGGGAAGATATGATCTTATGGGGCTATGTTAATGGGAAGATATGATCTTATGGGGCTATGTTAATGGGAAGATATGATCTTGTGAGGCTATGTTCTCAGCTTAAGTTGCTATGGGGTGTTGTTTTTTTCAATGCAGGAATTGTTCTTGTACTTAATGTTCTGAATTTGTATGATAACAATTTTTAAAATGGTTTGTTTATGGTTTTATTGTTAAAGTTAAAGCTTAAATGGCTGCCATGAAAACACATTCTTGAATCTCCTTTGAATTGAAAGTTAAATAATCCATTGGTCAAGTTTGGCTGTAGTTGAAATCACCTACATTATGTAAGCTAACTTGGCTGTAGTTGAAATCACCTACATTATGTAAGCTAACTTGGCTGTAGTTGAAATCACCTACATTATGTAAGCTAACTTGGCTGTAGTTGAAATCACCTACATCATGTAAGCTAACTTAAAACTTGTTGATGCATGATTAATTCAATTGCTACAAAAATACCTTACAAAACCTTACCTTAATTTCCTCGTTGCAACTGAAACAAAGCATTGTACATAAATTATAATTTGATTTTGATAAATGTTTACATTAAGCTGATTTACTTGGGTTTTGTATGTCTTTTAGGTTGTTAAGACCCATCAGGTCAAAGTGGTCACTTATTTATATGGTTGCTTGTATGTCTTTCAGGTTGTGAAGACCCATCAGGTAACAGTGGACACATATCTTGAGAATATCATTTCAGGTTCCATTGATAATACTGCGGATGAGCAGGCCAGGAGTGAGATAGAAAAACAAGCTTTAGCTATCAATGACTTAGCATATGAAGTTGAAGACAGGTTAATATCAATAAATTTTTAAAAAAATGTATTGCATTTTGTGGGAATATTTTTTATAAACAAGTTCTTAACAATATCCTCATGAATTTCTTTGACACATTTAGTCATCCAAGAGTTGGCTCCCACTACTGCTCAATTCTTATGAAGACTAAATGATTAGGGCCATAGTGCTTATTTTGCATCCAGGGCAGGCAACTCAAACAGTCTTTGTAAAAGGCTTTTCAGTCAGTTTAAATCTCAGTCTTTCACATTTTTTATCTATTTCATTTTTGCATCATTTTAACACTGAAAATATATTTCCATTACAGCAGAGACAAACTTGAATCAGAAGAAATAGTTGCAGATCTTGTTCATTGCTTCCTGATTCCCGAAGCCAAGAAACAGACAGTGAGAGAAAAAGGTAGCTTTTTTTCTTTTTTTTGCGATTAGCCTGGCATCTCAACAAACATCACTCTGCAATATGTCAACAAACATCACATAGCAATATGTCAACATACATGGCATAGCAATATGTCTCCTGACATCACATACTGGGTATCAGTATGTCAGCAAACATCACATACCAGGCAGCAATATGTCAGCAAACTCCACAAAGCAATATGGGTAGTAATAAAAGATCAATATAATTTAGATGCTAAATTTGATTTTTTTATATTATCAGAAGTGTTATTCTAGCTTAGTTATTGGGAACTGGTTGGCCAAGAGCCAACATAGCTGTAAAGTGATACAATATAATTTATGATTGGTCAAGAGCTAATGTAGCTGTCAATGGATGTAATTTATGGTTGGTCAAGAGCCAACATAGCTGCAAGTGATGCGATTAATGGATGGTCAAGAGCCAACATACCTGTCAGGTGATGCAATTTATGGTTGGTCAAGAGCCAACATAGCTATGAATGGATACAATTTATGGTTTTTCATGAGCCAAAATAGCTGTCAATGAATGCAATTTATGGTTGGCCAAAGGCCAACATAGTTGTCAACTGATATAATTTACGCATGATTTACACAAGTTTTTAAAGTTTTCTGATTTGTATGGCCCATATTTTTTACAAGGTCTTCTGGATTGAAAAATTAATTTTCTGCACATGTTCAGAAATGGTGTCAGTGATCAGAACCTTTGTTGACTTCTTACCAAGAATGAAATGTTTGTTGACTTCTTACCAAGAATGAAATGTTTGTTGACTTCTTACCAAGAATGAAATGTTGGTTGACTTCTTACCAAGAATGAAATGTTTGTTGACTTCTTACCAAGAATGAAATGTTTGTTGACTTCTTACCAAGAATGAAATGTTTGTTGACTTCTTACCAAGAATGAAATGTTGATCAAATCAAAGTAAAGCTTAAATCCTATTTGTGCATTCAAAGTCTTTGTATCAAAGTGTTCAAACGATAGTCTAAATCAGGCCTGCAGAACATGCGGCCCGCCAGCACACACTTTGCGGCCCGCAAAGTAACGACATGTTCTTTATTCTTATTATTTTCTTAATAGCTCCACCCCCCCTGTCCTATTTTCTTCTGGCCCGCACAAGTTTTTCATAAAGTATTACCGCCCACCTGACATTTTGAGTGGTGCAGGCCTGGCCCTCAGCCCGCCTTACATTTTGAGTGGTGCAGGCCTGGCCCTCAGCCCGCCTTACATTTTGAGTGGTGCAGGCCTTGCCCTCAGCCCGCCTTACATTTTGAGTGGTGCAGGCCTGGCCCTCAGCCTGCCTTACATTTTGAGTGGTGCAGGCCTGGCCCTCAGCCCACCTTACATTTTTTATTTATTTATTTATTTATTTAGACATTTTTTTATAGCGCTTACCTTACAGCTCTAAGCGCTTTACTATTATTAAAAATATGTAAACTATTTAAACTGCTAAAGTAAAATAAAAATGAAAAACCAGAGACACTAGAATAGTAACTACAATGTGAAAAATGACGATAGAAACATCAGTTTAAACATTAAAATGGCTATAAAAACGAGTACACTTTGGCACGTTTTGAGTGGTGCAGGTCTAAATGGAACCTAAACAGATGGGTTTTAAGGGACTTTTTGAAAGTGGATGAGGTTTCACAATGACGGATGTGGAAGGGGAGCTGGTTCCAGAACGTGGGCTCATGGACGTAGAAGGCGCATTCGCAGATGGTCTTAGTTTTGTTTCTTGGGATTGAGAGGGTTCTATTGTCAATTGAAGAGCATAGTTGTCTTATCGGGGTGTAAGGAAGCAACAGTTCAGAGAGATAGACAGGAAAGTGTGGGTCAGTGAACGAGTTGAAGCATAGATTGGCAGACTTGTACTTGATGCGAGAGGATATTGGAAGCCAGTGGAGTTGCCCCATATGTGGTTGAATGTGGTCATGTTTCTTTGATTTAAAAATGAGTCTGCATGCTGAGTTCTGTGCCTTCTAAAGTTTGTCTATGTGGTGTTGAGGAATGCCTGCGAGAAGAGTGTTACAGTAGTCAAATTTTGAAAGAATGAGTGAAGAGACAAGAGTTTTTGTGGCATCAAAGGAGAGGAGGTGTAGGCCTGGCCCTCAGCCCGCCTTACATATTGAGTGGTGCAAGCCTGGGTGTGGTGTGTCCTAAGCCTCATGACCAGTTTTATAGCTGGCTTTGTGAATCAACTTCTCCTAAGTGAGAATCAAAGTTTGAGAACATTTTAGTCAGTAGTCAATGATAATGACATTACAAATATTTTATTAAAATAATTCTTAACAAGAAATTTAGTTTCTCTAAGTGTTCTTTTAATTTCTTCTACTTCTTTAATAAATTATCTATCTTACACTAGTATATGAATAAGCTTATTTAATAATAATAATATTAATAATAAAGTTTATTTTAAAAAAAAGTACAAAGTCAACCATATTAAAAAAGAAATGAAACAATCTATATTAAAACACAAAACGCAACACTACAAAAACTACAAACGAGCATACCCATTCAAAGTCTTTCATCCCATTCAAATATAAACAATACAAGCCAGTATACATCTAGGAGATAATAGCTAGCTGGAAAAGATGGTAGACAACATCACCTCAGCCGATGTTTGCTAAATAGATGTGTTTTCAAATCGGTTTTGAAGGATTCCAGTGTCTGGCTGTTTCTTAAAGCAACAAGAAGGGTGTTCCAAATTGTTGGGCCAGCAAATGCCAAAGTGCGCCTTTTGTAAGTCTCAAGGCAAACACGTGGTGTTGAGAATTTGCCACTCTTGGATGAGCGGAGTTGTCTAGTGGGTACATAAGGCGTCATCAGTGCTCTGAGATAGGATGTCGCCAGGTCATGCAAGCAGCGGTAGCACAGAGTTGCAATTTTGTACTCTATGCAAGTACGGACCGGCAGCCAGTGCAGCTCTCTTGGAAGTGTTTTAGCATGGTCGAATTTTTGTTTACAAAGAATAATGGGAACCGCATTAAAATGTGCTTTTTGTATTTTATCCAGGAGTAGGGCTGGAAGACCCATCATGAGAGCATTGCAGTAGTCCATGTGTGATAGCACAAATGCAGACATCAGCCTCTTTGTTACATCAAACGTTAAGAAAGGTCTGATATGACTAATTCTGCGCAACTCTAGAAAAATCGCTTTGTAAAGCATGTTAATGGGATTTTCCTTAGATAGTGTTCTGTCTAAGTAGACACCCAGGTTTTGCACTGTCTGAGCAAACGCAATCTGCACACCTGAGAGAGTAAGGGATTGTGTGTTATTTATAGGTTTTAGCTTTTGAGCGGTAGCAATGGGGATAAGCTCGGTCTTTTCATCATTCAATTTGAGCTTTTTCATTGTCATCCAGTGCTTAACTGACTCCACTGTCTTCTGCATCATACTAAGAAGCTTAGGGAACTGAGCATCATCCGCAAACATGTGATATAGCATGTTAAACTGCTTGATCACTGCACCCAGGGGCTAAACATACATAGTGAAAAGCACCAGGCCTAGGACCGAGCCCTGGGGTACTCCGAATTCAACAATAGATTGCCTCGAGATCAGGCCACTAGAACTGATTGGACCCGATTGGTCAGATACGAGCGTGTTTTAAATTTAACTAAAAGTTGCTACAGGTAGCACTATCTAACATGTTTTGTTTTGTACCTTATTTTGAATATTTGTTTATATGACTTGAACCCATTCTCTGTATTGATCACTGTCTAAAGTGGGTTCAACCTTCTTAGACATTAGTTTTAAAACTAATTGTATACTTTATTTATTCAACATTATTGAGAATTGTATGTAACCTTCCTTTTATTTTACATTCCATTAAATGAATGATGGTTCTCTATACTTTAACAAATACAAACTGATAGCATAACATAATAAACTCAATTAAAATCTGACACTTGTCTGGAATTCAAAAGGGCAATGTTTGCTTGTATTTGAAAGGAATAATAAGGGGGAGACGATCAAGTTAAGAAAATGCCAAAGGAACAGGGTATGGGGAAATCCGAAAGAAGGCAAAACAATTAACATTTCTATGATTTTTACCCACAAGAAAATTCTGCATAGGATTATATCTCACTATAACCGGTACTTAGAAAACTTGCCACTCACTATAACCGGTACTTAGAAAACTTGCCACTCACTATAACCGGTACTTAGAAAACTTGCCACTCACTATAACCGGTACTTAGAAAACTTGCCACTCACTATAACCGGTACTTAGAAAACTTGCCACTCACTATAACCGGTACTTAGAAAACTTGCCACTCACTATAACCGGTACTTAGAAAAATTGCCACTCACTATAACCAGTACTTAGAAAACTTGCCACTCACTATAACCGGTACTTAGAAAAATTGCCACTCACTATAACCAGTACTTAGAAAACTTGCCACTCACTATAACCAGTACTTAGAAAACTTGCCACTCACTATAACCAGTACTTAGAAAACTTGCCACTCACTATAACCAGTACTTAGAAAACTTGCCACTCACTATAACCGGTACTTAGAAAACTTGCCACAATATACCTGGTGTGCTGGCAGCAACCAACCATAAAAAAAAAAAAGTGAGGACTACTTGTGGTCCAAGTCATTCATGTGTCGAACTTTCCATTGGGAGAGTTTTCTTTAGGCTCAATTGTCCAGTGAGGAATAATCCCAGGTGAAATGTTCATTTGGGGCATTATGTGTTCACTCCCTTCAGCTAACAAATGATAATTGATTTAAACAATTGTTTGAGTTTGAAAGTGATAATTATTTTTAATTTTTTTTACATGTTTTTATGTTGTTTTTTAACTGGACATTTTTATAAAGGGCTTTGACTCCAGAGTTTGACGCGAATGAAAAAGTTATTTATGAAATTTCTCCCAGTTATGTTTATAACAAAAGGTATAACTTGAAGCAATATTTATTTAAATTTTTGAAAGTGGTACACAGTCTGATGGTCAAAGGTTGTAATTCACAGTGATCAAATATA